ACGGACTATGGGCTTATATTATACAGGCTCGTATTACACGGGCTATGGGCTCATATTATACAGGCACGTATTACATAGGCTACGGGCTCATATTATACAGGCTCATATTACACGGGCTACGGGCTCACATTATACAGGCTCGTATTACACAGGCTACGAGCTTGTATTATACAGGCTCATATTACACAGGCTATGGGCTCATATTATACAGATGGATTATACAGGCTATGGGCTCGTATTATGTATGAATTATATGGCAGCCCCATAGTTGTTCTCCATTGTTCCTGGGAATGTTTCCTCCCTCTCATCTTTTTCTTCCTTGCTACAGAAAGACACAGATGAAGAGGTCCGTGAGTTCCTCACCAACAACCTACACCTTCAGGGCAAGGTGAGTCTCATTGCTCTGTTCAGGGGCAGAGGACTCTGAGAATCCCCTTGGAAGGTCTCTTGAAGTCCCCCGTCCTACCACCAGGTCTGGTTTCTGCACTGAGCATTTCCTCAGTTTGCAGGCAGACACCTAGTCCAGCAGCCCTGTCAAGAGGAAATTGTTTCCCGTTCCCACCTCTGCCTTTGTGCAGTTGCCTTGAGTAGGCCTTGCGCGTGGCCAGATGAAGTGGGAAGTGGTGGTGACCGGGGAGTGAGGCAGGACCCCTTGACTCTGAGCCCAGGTGGTTGCTTCTCAGGCAAGGGCTCTGGTCCCCTGTCCCTTCTTCCCTAGCAGCGGTGATGGCTCCTTTTCTCCTTGCAGTGTGAGAACGAGTCATCGATGCGCTGGCAGATGGCTCTCTACAAGGAGATGTCAGGCAAAGCCGAAGACTGCAACAATCCGGAGAAGATTGTCAAACGGGTTCAGGAAGTCTCCGCTGTGCTCTTCCACCTGGAACTGGTATGGGGAAGTGGGGGGTGGCAAGTGAAGTTAGTAGAGATGCCATTCCCCAGTTGGGGGTGGGGGAACCCCTCGATCTTTCACGCTCCTGCCCACGGCTGGCTGGCGGGGGGAAATCCCACCCCCAAACGCAACAGGCTGACATCACGCGGAAGTGACGTTGCGCGGTAAAGCTCTGTTTTATGGCAAAACTCTATGGTTTGGGGCAATGTTCCCTCTAAGCTGTGGAGTCTTGTGAGCAAAAATTCTACTTTGTGAGCTACTATTATTAAAGTTGTGAGCGAGTGATTTGGCTACTGCATAACCTAGTTTGCTCTGGAGCCCTCCTTCCTGAGCTAAGACAAAAATGTGTGAGCTGGAGGCTAAAAATATGTGAGCTAGCTCACACTAACTCAGCTTAGAGGGAACACTGGTTTGGGGGCAATTTCACCATAGAGTTTTGCCCGAAAAGCAGAGCATCCCCCCCGACGTCACCGACATGATGATGTCACTTCTGTGTGATGTCAGCACATCGTGGCACTCCGCCCCCACTCTCGGAAAGTCCCTCCCCCACCAGCGCAATAATTGGACCTGGCCACCCTAGAAGTGAGTGGCTGAAGTAACATGCCCAAAGTAGCCATAGGGTATACTGGCCAACTCCCCACCCATTGAAAGGGCTTCCGCAAAGATGGCCACTCCTTTAACCAGACCGTACTTTAAAGCAGAGCTCATTAAAAACAATAACAACTTGAATGACATGCTCACAGTTGGCCACATCGAGTAGAGCACTTAAGGGCTGTCAAGTTCACTCTACAGCTGGAGTGTCGAACTCATTTGTTATGAGGGCCGGATCTGACATAAATGAGACCTTGTCGGGCCGGGCCACGTGTGTCATAAAAGTTAATGCCCGGTAGTGGAGATATAAACATTATAAAGGACACAAACACAAAGGGTTGGTGTTTTTTTTTACTTAAAATAAAAGCATGCTTAAAACAGCGCTTTTGCAATATTTTGTTTATTGAACAGTGTCTGATAACTGGCACCTCTTGCTCTGAATCATGACATCAAAATGTCTGTGCTGTTGCAATCTTGAGTATGCAGTCCAGGTGTGTCTCTGTAAGCTGCAAACCTACGACGACGCAGCAGCAGCAGAACTGGAAGAAGAAGCAGAAGACGGCCAGTTCTGCTGCGGGCCTGATAGAAGCCCTCCGGGGGCCTGATCCGGCCCCCGGGCCGCATGTTTGACACCCCTGCTCTAGAGCCTTTTGGAATGACCCCGCAAAAAAGAAGATGGGTTCTTATGTTCTAGTAGCGCCCCCTCCGAAAGTCATGACTGTCCTGGGCTGTCTCCAGCTGTCTTAATGAAATCCTTGGCCAAGGGTAGAAGAGAGGGGGGAGGGAAATGCACGGAGGACGGGAACAGCCGACGACCAGCTGCGGCTGGGGAACGACGGGGGCCCCGCCCTCTGACTCCAACAAGCCTTGTGTATGTCCCCCACAGACAGAGCATCCGTTCAAGTCCAAGAAGGCCGTGTGGCATAAGCTGCTATCCAAGCAGCGCCGGCGTGCCGTGGTGGCCTGCTTCCGTATGACACCTCTCTACAACCTGCCCAGGTGAGTAGTGATGCACAGATCTGTGCCCCGTGTGCCCCCGGGGCCGAATAAGGGACACACGGTTGGAGTCCAGGGAGAGGATAAATATCTGTTTATTGCAATAATCAGGAAAATACAGGACTGGATACCTTGGCACCCAGTAACGGCCAAGCTGTGTTCTGCCCCAACCAGGAAGGGCAATAGGTCTTATACCCCAAATGACATCATTACAGTTTATACATTAAGAAATCTTCAATTGGTGTCCAACAGGCCTCATCATCAGAGCATCATTTGAGCCAGTTTGGTGTAGTGGTTAAGTGCGCTGACTCTAATCTGGGAGGACCGGGTTTGATTCCCCACTCCTCCACTCGCAGCTGCTGGATGACCTTGGGCAAGCCGTAGTTCTGATAAGAGCTGTTCTTGAAAAAAGAGCAGTTTCTGTCAAGAGCTCTCTCAGCCCCACCTACCTCACAGGGTGTCTGTTGTGGAGAAGGGAAGGGAAAGGAGTTTGTGAGCCGCTCTGAGACTCCTTTGGGTAGTGAAGGGCGGGGTATAAATCCAATCTCTTCTCTTCTTCTCCTATTGGCAAGCCCCTCTCTGGATCACAAGTGTCAGTAATTGTGTCGTCTTATCTGGTCCCGGAACAGAGGGGCCTTCTTTTGGCATCATTCCTGGCTTATTTGCTTCGGTCTGAAACTAGGGAGTTTCCTGATAAAATGCCTAAAACTTAGCTCTTGGCAGACGTTCTGGGGCCAGATGCTCTGCTCTACACAAAAAAGATATTTGTTTTGAGAACACTCCGTCTTTCCGTCTCACAGCTACACTTTCAGAATTCTCCTTCAACCGGGGAGCTTATAATTTCAAATATGCATCCCATTCTGAATCTATCAAAAAGAACCTTTGGCAATTAGAAATATCCTCATTAAATTCTGTTCCAAGTCTCTTCTACCTGGGTTAAGTGCTGAGGTCTAAATTCACTTGTAACCAGACTCCTAATAAGGCACAGTGACAGCTGTCATTCTACATATCAAATGTCAAAAATCACAATCATAAATCACATTCACTGGTCCCTTGTCCTACAGTAGGAAGAGAGGGTAGGGTTCATGCACCAGCTCAGCGGTCTGGATTTGTCTTGCGCCAGCATGGTCCAGTGGTTAGAGTGTTCGCCTAGCGTCTGGGGGAAAACTATGTTCAAACACCCCCCCCCACTCTGTCATGGAAGCTTGCTGGGTGACCTTGGTTCCAGCCACGCGCTCCTCAGCCTCACCTACCTGACTGGGTTCTTGTGAAGATAAAATGGGAAAGGGGATACACCATCTGCTGACCTCCTTCACGTTCGGATAGGACAACCATGTTCTAGATTAGGGTTCCCAGCCCTGCGCTGGCAAATACCGGTAGATTTACGTGGTGTCACTCGGAGAGGGTGGGGTTTCAGGAGGATGCGGCGTCGCTTGCGGGCGACGCTCTAGGAATTTCCTCTGATCTTTGTGGTAAAGACCATAGAGACGAGTGGAAATGCCTAGACCGTCACCATTGACACTTTTTCCTGTCTTCCCATCCCCCCCTTAAATTATCAAGGACAGGAGGGAGGAAATTTGCCTGCTACCCAAGGACAAGCCTCCTGTAGATTGATCTACCTCCCTGAGTGCCACATGGCTGG